TAAGACATTCGCCCTTTGAGGTTTGCTTTACTGTATGTAAATTTCCTATATTTGTTCTTTACTTATCTCTTATTTTCTCTGCTCTGTTTGAGTTTATTTGTGTTGGATTTTCAAGTTTAATCCAAGTAGAAAACAATCAAAGAGATGTGCACAAAGATACATTCACTTACCTGTATATTAACTGGGGGTGACGGATTTTGATAAAACTTGAAACTGAAATTGTGTGTTCTGTTTTATTCACACCAACTGCAATGCTTTGTCCAAATGATGGCTGGTGTAGCACGTACATTTTTATGTAAAGCAGCCCTATTTATGAAATGTGCTTTATAAATCAAGTTTGCCTTTGCTATGCCTGTTGTCTTGTCTTGCTTATTAGTTTACATGAGTTGTGAAAAACAAACTGTTAGCGCTACACAACAGCAAAATCAAAGTCCTGTAACTTAATTTCAGTAATTCATCTCAAAGTCTTTAATCTTTCACTGGCATGTAATCTAGAATTTAATGAATTGTGGGTTTGCAATCAACGTAGCCCCGGCTTCCAGCGACCTGGAAAATAACCTAAGCTAAGATAAACGTTTTGTAACCTTGCTACACATTAACCTTAAGATCCATTAGCAATCAAGAGATTAAAGAAATTGAAATAAAGCTCAAAAAAGGCTATTTGTTTTTTTCTTGCTGGTGTAGCTCTCTTCTAGTTGCCATTCCAGTCCCTCACTTGCATTCCTTTTCATAGGCAGATGGATTTTGTTGGAAATGTACGTGATGTGCAATTGTATGGTTCCTTCAGTAGTTAACTTTCTTCTCTTGTTTGCCCTCTGAAGAATTACCTCCACATCAGGAATATAGATTGTTTTGAGACACAGAGAGAATTCCTTCGATTCTCTAACAATCTCTCAGTTTGATCACAGCATAAAACAAACCAGTCAGTCGAAGAGGAAGGTATATCAGAAGTGTCAAACATTAGAAATAAGATCATTTAGATTTAAATTAGTTTTTTACCCTTAGATTTCTCACATGTTTAAGTAATTATTACTTACCCATCAGGCCTGCAACAGCTGCCACATATAAACATGGAACACATTTAGGTTTTTATTATTTATTTAATTGTTCTCAAGATGAGATACTTTTAGGTAGACAAAGACAGTTTTCTAGGACTTACTCAAACTGTATTGAGCATGTATGTATAGTTGGTGTGTAATCTACAATAAAAATCTTCTTAACCACATTATACATGTAATTTGCCAAGGACATATTAAGAGTAAAAAGACTGACCAGAGATAACAAATGCCCACTAAATAAAGTTTATTATTAGGAAATTGAAGGAGCACATTCCAGATCCTCTGGCAGGCAGTTCCAGCTCATGGGAGCGTAAAAACAAAAAGCTGCTTCTCCAGTTTTGGCGTTGACTCTTGATATTTTTGAAAGGCCAGCATCAGGTTACCCGCCTGATCTGGAAAGTCATAACTCATCACTATGTCAGAAATACAGTGAATTGTTCCAGAATATTCTGAGATTTGTCTATGAGAAGGACTTTATTTTCAATTTCACTGGAAACTAGTGATGTGATTTAACAACAGGGGTTGTTGCAGCCGCGCTGTTGTCTCTTTTGATATGCCTTTAAAAAAAATCATATTTTCATGTGTAATGAAAACATAACAATAAATTATTCACATTCACATTAAAGGAGACCCTAATGTTATCTCCATAGTCAATAGAATTCTTTGTTTACTTGCACATTATCATCCAGTTTTGAAGCACACTAAAGCATTTAATACTGTCTGAGACTAAATGGCTACTGTTCCATTTTACATTTATTTATATTTACATGTCTGTGCTGATGATACATTGTTTTCTTTTCCTTTAAAACCTGGGCATACCTCCAACCCCCACCCTGACTTCCTCTTACATTCATTTTCAGTGGCATTGTTACATGGTTGTTTGCATCCGCAAAAACATAAAGCATGAATACTAGACTGCAACTTTTCTTTGCCTCATTTGATAGGTTCTCTATGATATTTTGAATCCTTTTTAGTTGAATTTCTGATAAATACAACAGAATTATATTTTAGACATGTGAGCTGCAGTGCAGACAGAGACTACTGCTATTACCTGGTCCCTGCCTTATAGTCTCAGCCTAGTATTGTATTATATTTTAGCTCACTTCTTAAAAGTCATATTTCGGTGGAAGACCTTTTTAGGATTTTACCAGGTCCCTTTTAACCTGGTAAATTGCTATACATTTGTACTTTGTTTATGTTGTTATTATTGTTCTGTTCTGTTTTTCTAATCTATTTTCCTGTCTTCTTATCTCAAACTTGTGTGTAAATCTAAACAGATATGTAATTTAAGTAAATGTTTGCTCTTCAGTTTATTCTTTTATTATTACATATTTGTAATTAACATATACTGCAAACAATCCATCTAAAAAACAAACCCAGCTCTATTTGTGCATCAGCAAGACTTTACTCTCATTCTCAATCTGCAATCTGAATTTTTCAACACTGTATATGTAAACAGTAAAAGTGTGTCACGTAGAATAATTGACATGCAAACAATTGCTTGTGTTTTTCCAGTCAAGAGAAATCATTTTACCTGTAACTTTTAGTTAGATGTCTGTACATACTAAATTATTTTTAGAGTTGTACAACGTGTAGCCATGATATTGCCATTAACAACTTTATATAATATGAACACAGGTCATTGCTTGAAATATGTGTTCTGACATTATCATCGTCCCCCATGATGAAAAATGGATGGTGGTGGGGGGGGAGAACCTTTCCTCATCTCAGTGTTTTTGTAGATGTGCTCACAGCCCTAAAGAGAGTCCAATAATGTTTATACAAAGCATTGCATGAGCTCACCTAAACCTCCTGTGCCTCACAGGATATTCTTTCAATATTGTTTATGTAGCTATGAGGAAGAGACAATGGATTGTCTGGATGGTCTTTCTATCATGTACAAGATCTTGGCCCCCATGGACTGGATTTTACAGAAAATAACTTGGGCAATAATGCACATTTTTGCTCTAATCTGGCATTTGCAAAAACTATATTGATGAACTCGTTGAGCTTTTCTTACCATTTATAGTAATTCTTTAGGTGCCACTTTTTCAAGAAATACTGTCTACTTGTTCCCTTCTGGACTGTTCTGGCTGATTCACATGGGCACAACAACATTTATTTGACTCTTTATGGCACAAACATCTTAAGTGAGGGATGATACGTTTACATGTAGGTTGGTATGTTCAGAATACTTTACTTTTTGCACAGTTTGCATATAATTTCACTTCTTCTATTATAGCATGTACAGTTCTTAATGTATATTCTAAAACACTAAGTCCCCAGTAGAAGCTGTAATAAAGCAGACCATACTTAAAATGTTTAAGTTTAAGTTATGTTTGAAGCCAGCCTCATATCAAATATCCTGTGTATACACATAATAACTTATATGGATTGGTATTAAGTCCAGCCCAAATATGGACTGTTTAAACAAGTCCCAAGAGCACTTAGCAAATGTGTTTCTCCCCCTCAAGTTTATTTACATATTTAGTCTATTGAGAAACTACATGAAACTGTCTTGATGTTTGTAACGCATTGTTGGTTTGGAGGATTTCTTTGGGGGATACCTTGACAGCATTTGACCACAGTTAGTAGTAATCTGTGCTATGTGTGAAAAAAATGTTAACTTAACCAGGCAGTTTATTACCAACCAGCAACAGAATTATAAAAATCCTTTAAACCTGAACTATGAACATGTAAGCTGAAATTCAGTTTTACTGTTACAGAACTGTAGACCGACTTGACTGATACAGTGCATATACTTTAAAATAAACACAGGACAGGACTTATTCACATTCTTCTCCACCCTTGTTGCTGTAATACACTGTTGGAGGATTCTTTGGCAGCAGAGCATGTCGCCTGCAATGGAAACACTAACACGGCACCCATAACAACTACTTTGGTTTTTTAACATCTTTCAATCAGTCTTCTCACATCACTTTTGAGCCTGACTTGTATTATCTTGAGAGAATCAAAGCCTCCATTTTACATCCACATTGTCATTACTAACTGACAGCTTAAAAACTGTTTAGCAACCACCTAGCACAGTTCACAGCATGGTTTGTGTTATGCCATAAATTTGTTTGAAACATGCACTCAAAACAAGGGGTGCCAGAACTTCTGTTTGGACTTCAGGAGGAACTCAGTGATGTCTGTTTTGCGTCTGGTAGCCTGCCTCTTCAGTTGGCCTCTGGGAAGTCACACGGTATTATGGATTGTGTTTCCAGTTGCCACCCAGAGGCAATGCACAGTAGATCACTGAGTTTACCTTTCAGACATTATAAATAATCGCTTACAAGTAAATGATTAGATGTGATCGAATGACAGTACTGGAACTTCAACTACAAATACAACTCTCTGGTTTTAGCTTTGAATGACATCCCTCTGGAAAGTTATTATTTCTAGTGGGTAATATTTGGGTTTGTGGATTGACTCCAGACTGACTGTACGTTTAAACAACACATTGAGCACATTAGAAAGAAATTTGGTTGGTGGTCTATATTGTTTCATATGGATTTACATTTAATGTCAGAAAGAGACTTGCTTCACAACTTATTTTCCTGAACAATGCTCACATTGTTTATCAAAATGCTTCTTAAACCAACTGTCAAAGCAATTAAAGCAATTATTTGTCTAGATCAGATGTGGATATGCTATAAGATCAGAGGAACTAGAACACACTGTCCTGCTTTCTGTTACAGTCTTACCGTAATGCAACATATATCTGTTGCCTGCAGTACCAGGTGCTACCAAAATGCATTACTTCAGAAACTGACTGAAATTACATGCACCAAATTCTTCACCCCAAATAATCATCAGTTTCAGGGAAAGTGATAGTGCTTCAACACTGCTGTCCGTGTTTCTCAATGCTTACAGGAATCCTCATTTAACAGTGGACAGCTTGTGAATGTTTCTCATTACTATTCACTCTCGCTCTTGCAGGTGGTGAAGATGATGATCATCGTAGTGGTGACCTTTGCCCTCTGCTGGCTGCCCTATCATGTCTACTTCATTGTGACGGGTCTCAACAAGCTTCTGAACAAGTGGAAATACATCCAGCAGGTTTACCTGTCAGTGCTGTGGCTGGCAATGAGCTCCACCATGTACAACCCCATAATCTACTGCTGCCTCAACAGCAGGTGGGTAATAACAGAGTTGACGATCTAAAAACCTAAATGTTTCACTTCAGCATCCCTACTTTATCACTGCTACCAAATGAGACAACAGAAGTGGAATTACCGCAGTTGTATTATTACATCAAATCATGAAGTACAATTAAGTACCATTAGAGAGCCTTGCATAAGAATTCACCCCCCTTAGATTTTTCCCCATTGTGCAGTGTTAAAACCTAGAAATTGATTTTATTGGACTTCTTAACATTTAATTAACACAACATGCATAGTGCTTTGAAGGTGCAAAATACTTTTTGTTGTGACAGAAACAATAATTCTGACAAAAAATCAGTTTGTATCGAGTCAACCGCAATTTTAGCCGCAAGTGTCTTGGGATAGGTCTCTAGCTTTGCAAATCTATAGACTGTATTTTTTGTTTTTCTGGAAAAATAGCCCCAACTCAGTCAGACTGAACAGATACTGTTTGTGAACAGCAATTTTCAAGTTTCACCACATATTCTCGGTTAGGTTGAGATTAATACCATTAAATCATTCCAGTGTATCTATATATGCTTCTCAAGTCTCTTGCAGACAAAAACAGGTTTTCTTCAATAATTGCCCTGTATCGACTGCCCTCATTCCTGACCAGTATCCCAGTACCTGCTGATGAAAAACATCCCCACAGCATGATACTGCCACCATCGTGTTTCACTGTGGTATGCTCAGTGTTGGGTTTAAGCCAGACATTGTGTTTTGCCCCAGGCCCAAAACCTTCAGTTTTGGTCTCATCTGACCAGGGTACCTTCTTCCACATGTTTGCTGTGTCTCACACATGGCTTGTGGCAAACTCAAAACAGGATTTCCTATGGCTTTCTTTGAGAAATGGTTTTCTAGTCACCACTCTTCCATAATTGCCAGATTTGTGGAGTACATGACTAACAGCTGGACAGATTCTCCTACCTGAGCTGTGGATCTTTGCAGCTTTTCAGCTCCAGTCATAAGTCTCTTGGTTGCTCCTCGGATTAACACTGTCCTTGTGCAGTCTGTCAGTTTAGGTGGATGGGCTTCTCTATTTGCTGTTGTACCAAATTTTTTCCATTTTCCAATACTGGATTTAATAGTACTCGATACTGCGATATTCAGTGCTTTGGATATTTTTTAATACCTAACCCTGCTTTCCACAACTTTATCTTCCTGCCCCGTTTCGTGAGCTCCTTGGTCTTCGTGATGCTGTCTGGGGGTTGAATGCTTATGCAAGGCATTGTATCTGTTTTACTATACGATAAAAGTGACATTGATTTATTAATTATGGACTCTTGAAGAATAACAGTTTGGAGCTTTTATCATTATCTCCTAATGGTAAGAGAAAAAAGAAAGAGATGGAAATGAGCTCATTATATGTGGTCAAATCATCTGTGATGCATTCAAGCTAAGCAGAGATAAACAATAAAATACAATTTTATTGACATGGCAAAGGAAAACTGGTCAGTTTCAGTATTATTCAGAATTTTATATGTGTGGTCCCTGGTCTATTTGTCTGTTAGACACTAAAATGTAGAATCTATCAAATGATGAGGTTCCTTTTCAATCATTTTAGACACAAAATATTTAAATTATTACAAAATATTTTTATGAATTTAATTGAGTTGAGAACGATATCTTGGAAAAAGTATTTTTCAGTGAATAGTGAGTTTCTTCATCACTCAGTGTTTAAATGGGTACCTAATAAAAATATAATCTAATAATCTTTGGTGTATCAATGGAAACAGCGTCAATGCATTAGGAAACATCCACAGCCAGGAAGTACAAGTCAGATTACTGTTACTGTAATGCTCTCACTATTAATACTGTACTTCCACACCAATTTACCTCTTTTTCATCACTGCACAAACATTTAAACATGCTTCATTAACTTCCTTTTTATTTTAGAAGCCTCAGGGGCACTTGAATACAATCACATCTCAGCTGAAGAGCCAACATTTAGAACAGTACTGTATGTGCAGCTTTTTGAAAAGGAAACATGAGCCATTTCTTAGAAAATATAAAGTTATTTAAGGACTGCCAATCAAAAATACCTAAAAGACAGATTTACTTGTATTTATTGTCCATCTGTTATTCTTTCTCCACTTGCTCCTTGTTTGCCAACTCACCAGGTTTCGAGCTGGCTTCAAGCGAGCTTTTCGTTGGTGCCCATTCATCAAGGTTTCCAGCTACGACGAGTTGGAACTCCAGTCTACACGGCTGCACCCAACACGCCAGAGCAGCATGTACACACTGTCACGAATGGATACCACCATGGTGGTGGTTTACGACCCTGCCGAAGGCGATGGTGGTGCTGGTGGTGGCTCTGGAAGGAAGCACTCCCTGTCCGCTAGGAAGAAAAGCTACGTCACGTCTCGCCACACGGAGATCATTGGGTGCAACAGTGGCAGCACGAAAGCACAAAATGGAGGGGCTCCAAACGCTCAACCTGAAGAGTTCTCTTGAAGGGTGTTCTCATAGACTTACACACAGACATATGCATGTAAGAAATGTATTCACATGCATAATACACTGTATGTACAAATCGTGCACAGATGTTTGCTTAATTTAGATGTAGAAGCATTGTGTCAAGGTGGAAGTGGTTACTTTAACTTGCAGAGTTAGAATGACCAAATTGATATAGAGATTATTTTGTATTTTACATTGATGGATAATATACATTTTTTTATATACTCTGGAGCATGGATGGATTACTGAGCGGGCTTACCAGGCAAATGAATGTTACAAGCAGTTTTCATTAAAAAGTCACACAGCTCAGTAGGGATTTCCCTATTACTTTTTTTTTTGGCTCCTGAATCTTTAATATATAGTGAACAGAGATTAAGTGAAGCAATTCAAGTATGTTTGAGTATTCCAAAATTTCCAATAAGATTTGTGTATTATCCTAAAGTATCAGCAGTGTCAGTGTGTCTGAAACCGAGGTATGACTCGCCTTACTCTGCCTCTGATTGGCTTGTACTTGTTGCCTTTGTTGGTTAGGTTGGTTATGTTTAGGCATGAGGAGGGAGATAAAGGTTAGAGTAAAAATGTCAGGGCAAGCCAGTCAGAGGCAGAGTAGGACAGATCATGCGTGCACCATGCTTGGAAAAGAAAAACATATCGTTTAATGTCCAGGCCTCACTTTATAACGTTATTCACTGATATGGATGAAACTGGATTACATTTTATTGAGAAAATATTTTCTGGTTTTAGTCCTCTGGTTGCTCAGCTACAACTCTTGGTGATTTTGTTTTCTTGATAGACAGATAGTAGCTGTCGTTGGTTGGCACTGGAACCAGGCTCAGCAGCCTCCCAGTGAAGACCAGGAGATTTACGGAGTTTAACTGCTGACTGTAGTGTCGTTAGCCGAGTCAGCTAGCTGCATGGCTAACCAAGCTGATTTGCCAATGCATTGTACTGTATTCCCTGTATGTCTCAGAGATTGTGTTCAGTCCCGGTCTGGCCATGTTCCCAGACAGGGCTGGACCTAGAAGTGGAGCTGGACAAGGTCAAGCTCTTCAGTGAGAAGCCTCTCCTCCGCACCTCCAATATAAACAAACTGAAGTTCAGGATTTGTTCTTAACCAACAGCATAGCTGTAGAGTTCAGGTTAACCTGCAAAATAACCCAGAAAAAGATGCAAAACGCCCCCTAGTGACTGGGGATTGGGTGGGTGGTACTGTGCCCAGGGGCCCGTTGTCTCATAATCTATCCATGCTCAGGAGCAGCCTTAACAACATACGAGGTGAACAATGCTTACCTTGTGCATGATCATCTAAAGTCCAGGCACTTTGCCTTTGAGGGGCACATTCAGGTTTTTGCCTTATCCAATCATCGTCCCTCTGCATTAATGAAATACTGTAAGTAGCTGTTCCATATTCTTCAGCCAAACATTCAGCTCTGACTGAGATTAGGATAGAAACACATTGCACTGCTGTTTTGCTAAGGTCTCACGCCAAGAGTTAGAATGATTTATAATGAATCAGTTCTGCTTAGAGATTCACTATTAGAATAAATGTTAGGATGGTAAGACAATCTCACAATAGAGATAATCTAAAAATGTGTCATGGTGATTGTAATTGTGTAAGTATAGTTAAATTTCAATTTGTAAGTATTAACTGTGAGCTTTATCTTCTAGAGGGTGCACTCTATTTCCCCCCTGAAGTCACAAAGTTACCAATGGAATTAGTTATTGATTGAACTCTGGCACTATATGTGGCTCTGACTTTGGCTCTGAAAGTACTGAAACTGAGTTTGGCTTTTGGTTATGTAACATGTAAGGAACATGTTTTCTGACAACTGGCAACAGGCCAGAGGCAAAATCCATACATACATTTGTAGCATGTCAATAAACAGGCCGCTGGAGAATGGCAGGCTGAAAGTGAACTAACCAACTAGGAGTTAGTGGATCAATTATACACTTTTTACATTTTTAACTAAACATACAGAATGCTGCACAGTGAAGTGTGGCAAACCTTTCATGTTACTGTTCTGTTAAAGTTTTTTAAATGCCTCCACACAATGTGTCATCAAAAGCAGGACAGTTGTCGTCATTTGCAGTTCTTGGTGTTTCAGTAGTTTTTTGCAGCATGCTGTTATTCTGTGTTGCCTTTTAATTTAATTTCCTGCTTGTGTGCACAAGTGTGCAAACCGCACCAAGCATTATGCGCTAGCCTGTGCCATGTTGGGTTTACAATAAAAAAAGTGGAACCATACTGTGACAAGTATGATTATATAAACCATAGGAACAGTGGGTCCCCTCTGACTCACTACACAGCAACACCAACATGACCATGGACAACAGTGAGAAAACTGTTACTGGATGTGTTTATTAGTGTCACTGGTAGGAATAATTGTTTTGTTACTAGTGTTATTGGTGTTTTGGGGGTTTTTTTTATTCCACCAAACAGATCAGATACTGCAAAATATTTTTTAAATAATGTATTGAGTGTCCTGTTAGTTGCAGTAAAAGCTGAATTTTCACAGTTTGTGATGGGAGGTTAAAGATTCTGAGACATTAATTTTATTAAGATTAAAGTTCAAAGCTTCTAGATTGACAAGCAATTACAAACGGAAGACACAATATAATTTTCCTTAATTATTCTTACCAACAGTTCTGAATGTTCAGACTTCATGAAAGTATTTACTCAAGAATGTGAAAAAAATATGTTGTGCATTTCAGTGTCATGTATTTTTAAGCTGTTGTCTAATCTTTATATTGAAGTTGGTTAAATATTTGTATGTGGTAGTATCAAGTTTTTTTCAAGTTTCTCTGTAAAACTTTATGTGTTTTGTATGAATGTACAGTACAATGTGTGCCTCTATCTCTGTCAAGTGGTGATCAAATTATTTGCTGTATCTTTAAAGGATAGCTAGTTAATTTTCATCCTGAGCCTCATTTCTTTGTCCCTTACCCCACACAATCAATTGTGATCACTTTACTTTGCAGGAAGCACTGCTTTCACCACTCTTACTGAAAGACAAGACTCAGGTTGAAAATAACTTGTGTAATCCTTTAAACAAATAATTATGCTGTTATTATCGCTGATGATTAATGTTAATTTCAGATGAGGAATCGTAGAAACGCTTTGCTATTGATGATAAGTGAATTCAATATTGTATTTCTTATAGTAAGACCTTTGATGGTTTTTCATTACTCTGCATTGGTCAGTATGGATCATGTATTTGCTTAATGTAGCTTTATTGCAACAGTCTTACTTACAGTATCATGAGTGTTTACAAGTGGCACAACATGCTTGTGATGAAATGTAGCTGTGAAGTGTTGCAAATGCAGTCAGATTTTAGAGGAAAGAGGAAAAAAAATAAACTGAGCAATAGTTTTTGTTTTATGTCAGAAACAATGCAGGCTATTGTAATAGTCCGCAACTTTGAAATATCTCTTGTATGTATTCGATCCTATGGAAGAAAACTGCATTCATGAGAGAATGATGCAGTTATCTTACACAACATCTCATAATTACAACTAAAATCTTTTTGTAATTATGTGTTTTCATAATTACAAAATCTTTATCTTTGTGTGATATACTTCCATATTGACCTCGACCCAGCTTAGTTAAACATTTAACATGTGTTGTTGTAAATACTTAAAAACCCACAGCCACATATAATCATACAGGCTTGTTGCTAAAAGGAGAAAATTTAAGTAAAAAGACAAAGATTAAAGTTAGGGTAGGTAATGTATTTCAGAAGCATGTTTTGTTATATTGGTTAAAATTCTCTCAACATCCTGACTACATTTATTAAATCAAATCGAATTAATACAATTTACGATTAAAATCAGTTAGATGTTACTAAAGCTACCGAGCTAGTCACACAAGAAGAGAAAGAGCATCCAAATTTTTCAATTTAGTTACACCTTTACCTATTATGCCAAATAAAGCAAGGTAAGAAAGTTGAAAAGGCTACAAGCAAAAAGTTTAGATACAGCTTTTTAATGATGGCAAAAACCGAGGTCTGTCTGGTTTGTTTTGTTTTGTGGGGAATTTGTTATTTTCCTGAACTATATATGAATGAGACATGAGGTAGTTGGATACGATTAACAATGACCACGATGCGCTGTGCTCCTCTCCTCAACAGTCTGTGTGTTTGGTGAGTGGCTTTTTTACCCTACTCTTGCTAGTGTCTCCGACATGACCTACCCTAGCTTTAATTGATACTACTGCCTTTCACAGATTAAAATTAACACCAAAATATGTTCAACGTGTATAATATATCCTCTCTATGTACATACTCTGTCTGAAGAGTAAAACACAGACTTGTCAACAGCTCAGTTATTATGCTTACATATTTTTTGGTTTAGACGCAGCTGTCAGACCACTTCAATGCAGCACAATGAACGCTCATCACCAAAGGAGTCACCAAAATTGAGATCAACACAAATGTTGCAGATTATAAAATTAGGTTGACCTTTAGTAAAGTGTCAATATGTGTTGTTGTCTCTGTCTTGCTATACAATATTGGTTAATAAACAATTCTGTAACACTGGAGCTGAAGGTTGTCCAGTGCCAGCTGCTAATACGTTCATGTGTTGCCTGTGTTATCATAAGAGGCAATCTGTCAGGGGAAATATCAAAAGATTTTCAACTTTATTGATCCCACACTGGGGTAACTCCCTTGTTTCAGCAGCTGCAGATATATATAAGTTATTCATGCTATATATACCTTTTTATATAAACAGTTGTGTTTGATGGAACATTGCATAGAGAGATAACTGAGTACATTTGATTCAATGTGTGCACAGTGACCTACAGTACAAAAAGTCAAGACAGCTGTATGAGCGAGGATACCAGGTTTCACAGTGAGACAGCTCTGTTTATGTTGCTCTTTAATCTGAGCTGTCAAAATGGCTTCTGTCTCATTAACCTTTCTTTACAAATTACAAGTTACGCTGCATGGATATAATGTTTCATCTTGTTTTTTCCTCAATACATTATTACAGCATGGCCTGCTGAATCTAAGAGTTGCTTTGGAAATTGTGAGCATCGCCAGAGATTTTAGCTTCCAGATGCTCCTTATCCTCAACTGACAGATGTGCATGTAATTAGGCAACAGTCATCAAACTACAACCTTTAAGATTACTTGATTACTTCTTCCTTTTTTTATCTAGTTGCAATGGTTTTACACTCATTGATTGACTCAAGCCGACTTACAGACCCTCAAAATTGAGTTAATGATGAAAAACACAGCTGGCAGCCGATGACGTGTTGTTTCTGTAAACAAATCCATTATCTGTGACATTAGCGGTGTTCAGATCTTTTTTTCCTTCTCATTATCAGAAGATCGCAGCTTAATTACTGGGGGTTATTTGTACAGTAGGTATCCTGGGAAATATAAGAATCCACCAACTGAAACTGAAGCAGATGACAATGGCTGAAAAAGAGAAAGTGGATACAACAAAAGATAAATTACAAGACGTCATTCACTGGAATGGATTTACCCCAGCATGTGGTCTATTTTTTCTTTTTAACAATAACTTTATATGGAATACCAGCAAGAAAATACATTAAAAGCACATAAAATAAAAATACATTGAATTCTATCAATGTTTTATGAATGTAAGGTAATAGAAACAGAGAGGATTTTCAGAACTCATCCTTTCAGATCCTTCTTGTGAAACTAATGGTGGATTTCAGCATATAGTGCTGGAATATTCATTTCCCAAGCCCATATAACCTAAGGTTGTTCATTTATTCATGATGGTTGTATTAAACTATTATTTTACTATACAGTGAGGACTGCTAAGGCAATAGGTATGCTGCAGCTTGTCTCTGTTACTCATTACTTTGCTCTTGCATTTAATGTGTTTATAAAGAGCAATATGTATTTTTCACAACAATATATATTTTCAAAAACATGCATGGACTTTTTATATACATACATACATATATGAAAATCTCATGCACATATTTTTGTCATGCCCTGCAAAATAGCAGTGTTTCTGAAGTGCTATTTTACTCAACGAACAGTCATGGATCTGCACCACTAAATAAGGCAATTGTAGCAGCAATACGGCTTAGGAGTGCTGTTCTGCTGGTCTGTGTCAGACCACTTGGCAGGCCAGTCGTTTTTAGAATAGCCTCTTACCCAACATAGTGGTGGAGAAGGAAAGTAGCATAAAGCTGTCAATTTATTTTGCACTGTTGCGACCAAAATACACACTTCATGTCTGGTGGTTAAAATTATTAACTGCTTCTGAAAACACCTTTTTATTGTTGTTGCCACTTATTTTTATGCTAACAGAACCTATCAATCTGTTTCAGTGCATGTAAGTCCCCTAATAGCAGCAATGAATGGTCAAAACATATTTGCTTTTTCATCTTCTTGGGTAGCCTCAGCAGAGGTTTGAAAACTGTAGTCCTATTTCTTTAATTCTCCTCACAGCCATTTGTGACATTTTACATATCTCAATATCTGCTTCTGTTGAGCTATTCATGGCTTCACAGTTGAAAGAACATTATGATTGTTTCACCCTGTTCCTGACATCTGCACATATCTGTCCGGTAATTCAAAACATTTTCCTTAAGCTATCAATTTGAAAGGATTCACCGACAAAATGGGATATCTTCAAGCTTATTAGTCTGAGGAGACGAAATGTGCCATCATTTTAACAACTAAGATTCTTATTCTGTCAGAAAACCTCTATGGCTTCCATTTCTCCCAGAATGAGAAAGGGTTATCAAGATTTTCCATATGCTAAAAATAGATTGTAGACCAGTAGTAATTTACTGCAATCTACATGGGCCTCAATTTGCATATAATGTAAAAGACGTGTTCAATAACAAATTTAATTAACTAATTCCACAGAAATGGGAATGTGATGGAAGTTAATTTGACCAAGATAGTGCGGCTTCCTGTTCGTAAAATCTGTTATCGTTGCCCAAACGTCTATGTATGCGACTTGTTAGAATGGTATAAGAGGTCTCCATTTTATCACTGAGCTTAAGACATAATTGGTTGCCTATGTGAGTGTGTACAGGCAAAACCAACTTGTCAACCTGTTTAACATCAAAGTATATGTCTGAAAACTGACATTTTCCCTCCTGACTTAAACCACTTTCATAAGATATCTAGTCTGAAATCTGACAGCGACATGAAATCCATCATGTGACTTTTCACTGACAGAAGTTTTTTTTGTGTGAATCCGTGAGACAGTCCCACTAGTCCTGGCTCTGACACACATCCTAACACTAGCTCAAATCTTTCTCAAACATATTATCTTGTTTTGTGATTTTACAGCCAGGATTCACTCTGCATTAAACAGTGCATATTATATTATTCATAGTGCTATGCATTCTTAGTAGCCTCCAGCTCATTCACTGAACTAACACATAATATGCATGTAAAGCATTGCAATTTCTATTTTGCTCTTGGTTCACATCGAATAAATGTTATTGTGAATCCTGCACGCAATGCAGTAGGTCCTTTACTAAACAACCGGCTAGTTAGTAGCTATTTACAATAAGTAATACAACTGTAGACTCAAGTGCAACACATATCAGCTTAGTAAATGTGACTTGCCGTCTGTGGGCACCTGCAGCACACACTGGATGAATCATTGTGAAGATACAGAAGCCAGGATGTGACAATCAAGGGAGCGAATGTGATAAAAACTGCTTTTGTGCATCATAAATGCTAGTGTAAGGCAGAGCTGATGCACTTGGTGTGCAGGCTTACGTAGAAAACAATGTTTTGACATGGCATATTCTATTGTTCTGTTCAGCCTTTCAGTCTTTGAAACAGTAAAATGTATGATCATTCATGATATTATAACATTAGCTGCCACAGGCTATTCCAGATGAACACTTTACATTATACCCTTATATTAGAAAACATGCTTAAAAATTATTACAAACAAACTCAATAGCATTTTCATAATAAGAACACCTTAAATAACATAACCAGTACGTAATAATGTTCTTAGCTGACACACACTAACTCTGCTGTGAGGGCAGAGGAAGGCTGATATTATATCACATTTGCTTCAGTCCCTCAACCAGTAAGTATCAGTTGAAAGTGAATTACGTGATGAGTGATGAGCTCACCATGTCAGGCAGTTTTTCTTTTAAATGAGCTTTTATAGTTTAATGTAAAAGATCTCAATAAACACCAACACCATGAATAAATATGAGCTTTATCTTTGAATGTCTCATGTCACAGACGTGTTTATAGGAAAATGTCAAGATGATTTTTACTTGAAAGTTAGATACGAACTCAGTCACCATCAGTTGGAAAGTAGGAAAAGCACAGGTGTATATAATGAAATTAATGATGGTTGGATTCCATTTAGTGGCTTCAGTTTCAGAGTCTGGGTATTGTGCATTCTGGCTCACTGTCATACTGACATGGATGAACTAAAGCTGGTCCTAGTGAAGCCTACAAAGCTGCGCCAAGGCAACATGCAAGTGAGCAGGTCTAAAGTACAGAGCCAGGACCTGAAACCTTGAGTTCGGTGAGTTGACCTAACCTCCAACTCAGACATTATGGATACATAACAACACACTGGAATAAGAAAGAGGCTGTCAGGCCTGAGATTCTGTATGTATTATTTATGATGTCACAAGCAGGTAGGTCTAGCATTGTTTGTGTGTAACTCTGACCAGTGAAAAGGCTAACTTGAAAAATCTGTGTGTGTTCTGAAATGTTGACAATT